ATGGAGGACTCCTATTTTAGCAGGAATCAACAGTTTGAAGATTCCTACAAACACGCAGCTTTTCACTTCACTAGACGTTCATTGATGGACTGGAGTGGTGTGGATCACTTGTGGATTATTGTGATGTTTTTCTCAGCTGTTTGGACTCTCATTCTGACGGCACCCATTCACTGCAGAGGATCCATTGGTACATTTTAATTTCTGGGTGAATTACTTCTTTAATGTTTATGCATATATTTATATTGAGATTTACAGCAGCATGTTTACACTACAGTAAGTCTCGTATGTTCACAGCTTGACAATGCCGTTGAAAAGTCCGGAAAGCTTGTTCTTACAAACTGGAGTGAACAAATTAAGGTAAGAAAAGGTACAGATGTTTATCGAGATTTGACCAGAAAAACCTATATTAACGTGAGATTCAAAAGTACTTTTGCATCTTGTTTTGCCATGAGGAGGATATATTTTGAGCAGAAATGTGTTTTTACAGCTGAAAAAGAAGCTGATTGGGTTGACGAGAGAACATGAAGCTCTCTTCAGCTTTGTGGAGAAAAATAAGCAAATCTGTACAGAGAAGGAAAAACAGAAGGTAAATATGATGGTTAATTGGCTATAGGGAAAAGCAATTAACAGGTATTTTTGTGACGTTATTTTCATCTAGATGTTGAACAGATTGACTAAATCAGCAGAGCTTCAGGCCAGAGTTGATGAGGAATATTTTAACACCAACATGGAGGGTCACCACATCCGACTGAAGCTGGAGAACACGCTGAAAACCTGCTATCAGGTTCCAGCTGATTTCCACATCTTTACATTTTCATCTTCTCTGAAATCCATTGCATTTTGACTGATTCAGTTCTGCGTTTCAGATTGTTCAGGAGCTTGAGAAGCAAAGAATAGAGACTCTGTCCAACACCCTAGACAAGTACAGTCTCTTCATGACTGTCTACGCACAGACCGTCGTTCACGTGAGTAACTGAACCCACCAAACACTGAAGGTAACTTTAACAGATTCAAAAGTGCTGGGAGAAATTCTGATTTTAAGATGCTCCCTTTGAATTTACAAGTGTGAATTTGAATTGAAATGGCCACAAATGAATTAAAATAGAATTCAGTACTTTCAATACATTCCAAAAAATACATAAAAAATAAAACAATAATAATAATAATTTAGCCTACAGAACCACAAAAGTTCCACACTTCCGTTTTTTAATATTTTCATAGATAAATAAATATTTGGCTTCAATATTATTATTTTTTTATTATTAAAATAATTTAAAATACATTTTAAAATGGATTTAATTCTTTAATATTTAGACAGTTTTGAAGGCTTTAAAGCAAATGTAAGTATTGTGGAAATTAACCTGCTCCTTAACCATTTTTCTTCTTTTTAATAATCCAATAAAATAAATAATACAATAAAATAAAAGCTACACCGACACATTTTCCCCTTGAATTCTTAAAGAATTTTCTGCAACACACCTTAATTCAAATTCAACTTTAAAAGGCAACATTTTCAATTTAATGTGAAAAAAAAACTAGCTCAAGTGAAGATTAATTTAAACCTAGCAATGATGTCTTTTATTTTAGCATTTCTTGAAGCGATTAAACTGACTTCAGGTCAGTCTTACTGGTGGATTTGCATTTGCTGAATGTTTTTGATAACAGAGTCATAAACAGATCGAGCAGGCCGTACGCAAAGTTGATGTGGAGAAGGACATTCAGTCGCTGGTCGAGGACGTCAGTGCTACAGCGGATGAAAGCAAAGCTGAATTTCTCATGGCTGACTACTTTGTAAGTCTTTTGAGTTTACAACACAAATTTGTGTTGCAGAATTGATATGAAATGGGTTGCTGTTTGTGTGTGTGTGTTTATACAGGAGGAAGAAGGAAAAACAGTCATGAGAAAAGACAGAAGGAAAGATGCCATCAGGACCAAACTTCAGCGTCTGGAGGACTGCATCACGAAATCAAAAAGTGACAGAGAAGGTTTGGATCTTGTAGATACTGTGATTCATATCTGAGCGTATGTGATTTAAAAGGGTCATATCATGAACATTTAAGTTGAAGGAACATGTCAAAGACACCTATTGGTGTCCAGAAATCTGCCTGTCAGGGCACATTTATATAAAAAGGAAGAAACAGGACAGATAATGTTATTCCTAAATACCAGAAGAACTAATCTGAGTGAAAACTGTAGGAAGTTCGTGAAAAACTACTTAGACCTCAGGGAACTGAATTTTAAAAAGTATGATATGACCCCCTTTAAACAGAACTGGTTTATTCCTCAGAGATCTTATTAGGTGGTTCTGTCCTGTTTATATTGTTCATTATATGACATTTAGCTCAACACTGACACATAAATCTGGATTTCAGGTTTAGAGAAAATGGTGAAAGTATACACAGAACAGCCAAACTTCTCCAATCAAAAAAACCTGGAGGAAACGGAACAGTTACTGGATGAGGTCAGATGTTATTGTATTGGATTTCATTCCAATGTTCTGTTGAATATTAATCATAACTTTGCTTTGCTTCAAATTTGTCAAAAAAAAAAATTAATTCAATTGTTTTGATCCCTGTATATTTAAAGGGGTCATATGACATTGCTAAAAAAAAAAACATTATTTTGTGTATTTGGTGTAATGAAATGTGTTTATGCGGTTTAAGGTTCAAAAAACACATTATTTTCCACATACTGTACATTATTGTTTCTCCTTTATGCCCCGCCTTTCTGAAACGCGTCGATTTTTACAAAGCTCATCG